TGGAAAAACCAATGTTTTAAAGCTGTACAAATTACAATTAACTCAGATGCACATTCTAATTTTAACATCTCTGAACAGTATTGTCACTACAACAAAACATGAGCATCTGTTCTCACCTTCTGCATCACTGGGTCCACCCAGCAACAATTTATCTATCAGCTGTAGTTCATAAAGTGTCTTCTTCACAACCTTCAACATCAAACAGAAACAACAATTATCTATAGGTTAACAGTAATATAAGTTTTAAAAAAATTTTCAACTTAAATAAACCTAGGGAAGTAACATATAAAACCCTATTAAATAATGACCCGATCTTTCAATATTTCACTGAAAATACCATACTTTACTTTTATTTTAAAAAACGTGGTATATCATTAATCTGTATTCCGCTACAAAAAAAAATATTTTAAATACACTAAGACTGTTAGTTTTAGATTTGTTATTCTAGAGTTCAGATATAAAGTATATTAGAATATGCTAATCTAATATATAAAGCTAAGTTTGTGTAAGTTTGCATCTTTGTAATCTAATTTTATCCACAGATGATTTAAGTAGAAATGATGTCAGAAAAATGTATGTGTATTTTATAGAGAGGTGTGCTGCTGTTGTGGGGTCAGAATAAAAATCCATCAAACACAATAATAAACTGGCTTTTATTCACTTTATTTTGGGAGGGAAGAGGGGTATGATAAACATTTCTGACTCTGATTATGTAACTTAGAACAAAATGTCAAGAAAACTTTGATTGCCAATCACAAGCAGAAAAACATGTGCAACGAAAGTGACAGGGTGAAACTCCACAAGAAAGGGAAACACACATTGACAGGCAACAAAAAATACAAGCTGCTCATCGTCAAGTGGAGACTGAGCAAAAGTGGCAATTTTGCAGAGACAGTGACTGCAGTCACCATTCACAAAAACATCAAGAACACAAGACCTTCATTCGATCCCTTCCATTTAAAAATAACTAAACATCGGCCCTCTGTTCAGGTAATATCCAGACAATGCCGAGTAAGGACAGCAAGTATTAAATAAATCATTTTAAACTATATACTTAATTTAAACAAAACTTATTCAAACCTCCACTTCTTTGGACTTGGCACTTAGAGCCTCTTCTAATTGCTTTTCTGTCTCCTGGAAATCTTCTACTTCCTTGGAGAGTTCATTCACTCTGAAATAAACATCCCGATAGAAGTTTTGATTTTAAACACTGTTTAAAAGTGGTAACTTCAAGGAATCCACTGCTATAGAAAATTAATTTTCTCTCAAACAGCAAGTGTTTTAAGAATAGATCATACTTAAATATTTAATTTTTTCAAGGTGCAAACAGCACTTCAGTTCTACTACACTAATGTATCAAACCAGCCCAACACTTTGGTTCTACTACACTAATCTATAAAACCAACCCAGCACTTCAGTTCTACTACACTAATGTATCAAACCAGCCCAACACTTTGGTTCTACTACACTAATCTACAAAACCAACCCA